GGCGCCGCCGCCCGCGGCCACCCCCGTGGCCGGGAGCCGGGCAGGTCGTGGTTTCCGAGTTGTTCGATGAGGCACCGCAGGAAACGTCTAGTTCTCAGCACCGAGGCCTTGGCCGCGGGGGCAGAGGAGGAAGCGCTGTGCTGCTGGTACAATGCGGGTAGCAGGATCCTTTCCTCTCGCTCCCTCTCCTATAGATGTATATATATTTCAATGACTTTGATCCGCCTTTTCTCTCCTCTCAGGCCCTTGCTAGCCTTTCCTGGAAGCTGATTTTATCAGTGCTGTTTTAAAATAGTTACAAAAGACAAGCTCTCCATTAGCAAGCCCTGGTTTGCACAGTGCAATTCCCCGGTGCATTTTCTGTGCAGTTCCAATATTGTTGCTGTGATCTTCTAGATTAAAATAAAAACTACATTGTGAATACTGGCCTTGGTTTGGAATTAGAAATGACATTTAATGTTTACCATTTTACACCCTAAATATTGCAGATGTGGGCACAAGTAAGGAAATATTGTGCAGTCACAGGATGTTTGTGTAGTTATTATGAAAGCCGTCATATCTCTAAAGTCAAAGCGAATTAGCTAATAGCCAAACTTATAAAAGAATATCTGCTTCATTCAGAAGTCCTCCCTCTGAAGTCTGTGAGGCTTGTACTTCTGAGGCATGTGAAAACTTCTGAAAATTCTGCCCCCGGGGATTGTCCATGTTGAGGCAGCTGACTTTAGGGTCCTATTTTTGGAACCTTCGGTGGAGATTTTAAATTGGATTTTTAGTGGGAATAGTGCCTGCATTGGTGCTGCAGGATCTTGAAGGCTATATCTAAGATTTGAGTAGAAAAATGGGGGGGGATATCATTCTTTTCCGGGGATAAGCTCCTTTTTATTAGATTTCATATACCATAAAAGAGCCATGTGGCATAAATAAGTGTCCTTTCATTTTTGCAGAACATTTTTAAGTAGTCCTTGTTGCCTTTCATGTTGCTAGTTTTGTTCACTGTCTTTTAGAATATCATCGGCAGGATTTCATGGGAGATAGCAGTCTCCTTAGTGGTGTGCTTCAGCACAGCTTGCAAGTACAGTTTCATGAGATGTTGTCCTGTTGCAAGTACTGTACATTGTCTGATTGTAAACTAAATGTATCCTCAAAGGTATATAGGAAGAAGTCTGTGTGTGAGAAAACTGTGAAGGATCACAACGTGTTAGATAAATCAGGGCTAAATGACAGTACTTATGATTTGTTCCTGAGGATGTGATTTTAATGAAGTGGCATGAGTTGGAGCAATATGTCTTCTGCCTGCGGTCTGGTGTAACTCAGTGTTGGATTCAGTGCTCTTTTGTGGGCATCCAAGGTTAGTAACCAGAATTAGGAATCAGTTCTGAAAATAATGGCATGAGCATGTCTGGATCTGAATATGCACCCTACAGAATGGACAAATATATCAAGAGGAGATACCAAATTTACAGTGAAAGCTTAAATAATTATTTCTTGTAAAGTATTTAGAGATCTTCTAAAATCCATGTTCAGTGATATTATTCACATATTTTCTTCTAACATAGCTGAATTTATCCTTTATTTCTATAGGTCAGATCTTGCCAGCAAACCGAAACACACCAAGTCCCATTGATCCCGAGACTATCCAAGTTCCCGTTGGCTACGAACCTGACCCTGCAGATCTTGCTCTTTCCAGTATTCCTGGCCAGGAGATGTTTGACCCTCGTAAGCGCAAATTCTCTGAAGAAGAGCTGAAACCACAGCCAATGATTAAGAAAGCTCGCAAAGTCTTCATTCCAGATGACCTGAAGGTAAATTGGGACTGGTGACGAGTTTGTTCATACAGACTGTATGACAGTTACTCTCTTGAGTTACAGGTTTGGAGCATGAATCTGTTTTCTCATGTAAGGTAAATCTGCCAAACTAAATCTGACTTTGTTGGAGAATAAAACTGTTAATGGTTCTGAGTAAGACTGAGGAGAGGATGTCCCTTATTAGTTACGCAACAGTTGAAATTCATGAGATCGATATTCATTTCCTTTGTATGCCAGAAACTTCCTGCCTGACCTTGGACAAGCTTACTTTGTCCCATATTTCCCACTTATGAAACAGTCTGATCATGTTTCCTTTTCCTCCATCCCCTGTCTATCTCTTCGGCATAGACTCTGAATTCTTCAAGGAAGAATCCTTCTCTTAGAGGGTCCATGGAGGTCCCTGATAATGACAGAATGAAGTTGTATTGTGTCTTGTTTGGAAGTTGCTTTAGCTCCATGTTTAATAATGAATGGGACTACAGTAATTACTATATTACACTATAGTAAACATTATTAATCTAGGTGAAAGAATCTAATCTAGTTGTAGGAAAACAGAATAAAATTATTCTGCCAAGAAGTATATTTTAATACAGTATTTAAAATATATTAAAGTAATATATCTTAATACCATAATAATACAATATTTAGAAAGAAAGAACACCCTTATCTATGCCTCTCACTGCTTCTGGGATGTGAAGAGCAAAGCGCATGAAGAGAGCAGAACAAATTGATCAACTGATTCATCTTATCAAACAACTGTGAAAATTGTCATTATTTGCAAAATTCTATTCCCAATATGTGATTTTCAAGAGGATCTTTTTTTATCAGAGGTAGGCAGTGCAGAATTTCATTCTGCTGTTGCTACTGCCCCCCAACACGCAGGCTGAAAGCCAGTTGGAGTCGATGGGCATCCCTGTCTGCGTGTGCAAAGAGACTGGGATGCCATGTGTTTACACCAGATTGGTGGCATTAGGGAAAGAAGCTGATGCTATTCGCTGTCTTTATCTCTAAGGATACTGTTGTGCAAGTTAAAAGCACAGAAATCACAATTCCAGTGGTGTTCAGGTGGTATGTTGCTGTCACTTTGTCTGTAGTATCCTCAGCTTTCGTTTAGAAAGGTTTATCTGCATCATACCATTTACTTACCTGGGCAAATTTTGCTACTAATGATGCTCTGTTGGCATCGCAGTGTGCTGAGAGGTCTGCCTAAAGAGTGGTGTTCGATACAGAAATGGCTACGTGGGTGTAAGGAGGCTGGAGTTTGCTCCTTAGTGCCATTCATCATTTTGTGATACCTCCTAGGTATCCTTATTCATCAGTGCAAACTTTTGCCAAAGGTGCTGTGGAAAATATCAGTATCTCACATGCAGCAGTGGGGCACATAAGTTTTCAGCCTAAGACCGAACTAGAAGTTCGTGGTCTCTCATTTCCCTGAGATAATCACATCAGTTGCCCTTGACTTATTTCAGAGTGCTTGACCCAAGTGCTGCTGCTTCTGCCCTGGCATGTGGAACGGCTGTTGAGTTCTGGGGGAGGGTAAGCAGATTAGACCAGTCAATCGTCTCTGGGTTGCATGTGATTTTGAAATGCCAGCCTTACCTCTTTCAGGCCTGGATTAAGGGATTTGCCATAGCAATTTGTTAAAATAAAGATGGATGAAGCCTAGGTGGCACACTAATAAATTGCTTAAAGCTGATTTTTATAGAGTGGCATGAGATGGGAAATTATAAACAAGATTTGGGTCATAGCTTTTTGCTGCATGCTTGTTTTTAAGAGGATTTTTGGGGGTCCCATCTAGGTACAGGTAAAGAGCAATTTAGAGATATGCTGGCTCCAAATCAACATTGCTGCACACCTCGTTAAGCTAAACTAATATAAAGCAGTTGTAGAGCACGTCTAAGCTCTTGCTTTGCAAGCAGCCAAAGAAGATGCAGAGCAGTGGTATTAGACCTGGCATGCTTCGTGCTGAAAGGCAGAGGAGTGGTGGGGTATTTGTCTATTCAGTGTAACGTAGGAGCGGATGGTTCCTGGTCCTTGTAGTGGATACGGTGCTGTGCTGCCATGCTCGGTGAAACAAGAGCCACACAAGCAGATGTAAGCATATAAAAATGGAGTAATGACTCTGCAAGGGGAAGTTGGAGCTATATGACTTGTCCAGGCAATTTGAGGGTTAAATGGCTGCACCACTCTTACTCTGCAGGGGACTGAATTTCACTTTTCATGAGAGATTCTGCACACTTTGTTTTACTGAGTTGGTCCAAATTTCTAGAACTTAATGCACTTTCAAAACAACATTGACACTGCCATTTTACTGAAGGCCACTTCATTTGAAGAGTGGAAAAATCAGGTAAAATTAAGTTGTGACTTTGGAGTTATTGATGCACCAATGCAACAAGGTGATTTCCTAGAGGCGAGTCTTTAGGGATGACACTTTGGGAATGTGTTAGCTTATGAAACTTCATAGTAGTAGACCTATTTCTGGTAAAATGCTTTTTTTCCCCACAGTCAAAGCCTACTGTACTAATCTCTTTGCGGATGGTACCAGAGCAGCCATCCTTGTGCCAAGGAATCCTCTTCCAGTGACTTGCTGTTCTAGGGTGCAAACAGGAACTCTTTGGGGCTCTGTGGAGAAAGAGCTTTGATCAGAGAAAAAGAGCTGAACAATAGACGAAATGGATGATAATCAACATAGAGAGTGATCCAGGTGTTGGCTGGCAAAGAAGAGGAACAGGGACATGCAAGATGTAATTAGAACTGCTCTGGCAACCAGTAGAGAGTGAGTCACCGCATGCGAAGGTGGATGTGCTAACTAGGTCAGCGTAGATGTGAGATGAATTGTACCACTGGAATATTGCTTCATTTTTCCTTGGAGGAATTCACAGTCAAGAGGATGAGGGGGTTAGCGTAAACGTTTTGACAGAAACATGCGCAGGCATCTGTGCTCACTGGATGGATTATGCCATGTAAATCTGTAACTTTTGTCCCAGCAGTACCTGGCCCTGTCAGGGCTCACTAGGCCAGGCAAGCAAAATCTGTGGAGTTAAGTCATCCCCAATCATAGAATCATAGAATCTTTGTGTTGAAAGGGACCTTCAAAGATCACCTAGTCCAACCCCTCTGCAATGGGCAGGGACATCTCCAACTAGATGAGGTTGCTCAGAGCCCTGTCCAACCTGACCTGGGATGTTTCCAGGGATGGGGCATCTGCCACCTCTCTGGGCAACCTGGGCCAGTGGTTCACACCCATCATTGTGAAAAATGTCTTCTTTCTATCTAGTCTAAATCTGCCCTCTTTTAGTTTAAAACCATTACCCCTTGTCCTGTCACTACAGGCCTTGCTAAAAAGTCTGTTCCCATCTTTGTTATAAGACCCCTTTAAGCCCTGGCAGGCTACAATAAGGTCTCCCCAGAGCCTTCTCTTCTCCAGACTGAACAACCCCAATTCTCTCAGCCTGTCCTCACAGCAGAGCTGTTCCAGCCCTCTGAGCATTTTGGTGGCCTCCTCCGGACCCTCTCCAACAGGTCCATGTCTTTCCTGTGCTGAGAGCCCCAGAGGTGGACGCAGCACTGCAGGTGGGGTCCTGGAGGGCTGTGGCTAAGAGCACATCCTGGTGGCTGCTCAGTTTGCTGAAATCTAATACCTTGTTTGTTTCTTTCTGTGTTTAATGAGCAGGATGACAAATACTGGGCAAGGCGTAGAAAGAACAACATGGCTGCTAAGCGATCGAGGGATGCTCGCCGGCTGAAGGAGAACCAGATTGCCATCCGCGCCTCGTTTCTGGAGAAGGAGAACTCAGCTCTCCGCCAAGAGGTGGCCGACTTACGGAAGGAGCTGGGCAAATGCAAGAACGTTCTTGCAAAGTACGAAGCTCGACACGGCCCTCTGTAAATTCAAGGGGGGCAGCGGGGTTTTTTTCTTTTTTCTTTTTTCTTTCTTTTTGTTGCGGGTTGGCATTTGAATAGATGGACAATGTGTTTCCTGTTTGATAGCACCACACCCAAACCAACCTTTCTGTCTTCAGCACTTTACCAGAAGCAGAAACAAAACTGACTTACTTGTTTTTTTTTTCGTTTGCGTATGCGTGTACCTGCGTATGTGTGCACATGTGTGTTCACACGTCTGTATATGTGTGTGTGTGTGCGTGCGCACGCATCTCAGCACTTCCCATTTTTATGAAGCCCTCTTCAAAGGGTGCCACATTTTTACCTGGACTGTTGAGAACCGCCATAGTAAGCTTTTTATTATATTTTTTCAGTGCTGCTTCAGATTAGGGGTTTTATGTTATTGTAACCAGTTCCATCCTCCTGATTTACTTGGAAAGATCCCAGTATAAATTATAAAAAAAGGAAAAAAAAAGAAAAAAGAAAAAAAGTAGATCTCAGTTTTTTCGAGAGTAACAAGCTATTGTTTAAATATGTCTAATCAGAAAAGTTAACATGCTAATAAAGTGCACAAATAATAATTTAGTACTACACTGCAGGAATATTAATTTATAGATTGCTTTTGTTGTATTTTAAGTTTTGGTGATAATTGTCTTCAGATTTAAAGTGCTGTTAGACTGAGTTAGCTATACTCATTATAGGTCTCATAATGGCTTCTCTATAGCTATTAAGGTTCCTTTTCTTTCCACAGACCCCAGGTAGGTAGGAGTACTATCGATAGACCACAGAGTGTGTACTTTGCACTGTCTGTACCTGAAGCAATAATCCTATTGTACGCTAGTGCGCATGCTGCCCGGATGTTCCTAGTGGACGTAGGATGGTGTCCCTACCCAACAGGAGTTTTAATGTCTTTAACAAGAAGTTAAAAAGTAAAAGACACATTAACGTGAGCATGCTAATTGTATCCCTGCTATAGGGAGCGCATGTTTAAGAAGCAGGATAATTAGTTGAAACGAGAGCAAAATTAATAGTATCAAATCAGATCCGATGTCGAAATCAGAGGGGCTTTTCTGTTTTCAGTTAGTAATGCATTTCTTCGAGTCCCATTTTGTGATTAAAATTTAAATAAATACCTAAATTCAGCTGTTTTTTCTCACGTTCTGTAATATATTTTCTGTGGATTATATCTTGCTGTTTTAAAAATCACTTTTACTCAGTTAAAAGTCGTCACTGGTTTGCAAAGCCCATTTTTCCTAGTGATTGTTGTTCTGAGTGTGATATGAACTGATGGTTCTGAACTTTATTGTTTCAAACTCTCTATTTGCTTTTGAACACGTATGTTCTAATATAAAGTGGACTTCTGAAAAATGAATGTAAGAGACACTGGTGTATTTCAGAAGGGGATGGTGTTGTCATATACTGTGGTTAATCCAATCAATCAAAGTGTTTACTATAGACCAAAAGAATAGATATTATAAAATGTATAAAGTTTATACAGAATAATTATAGTATGTTCGTTTTGTACAGTATTTTTCAAGTACAAATACTGACAATGTATTTTGAAAACATATATATAGCAAAAAGTAAAAGCTATTCCATGTTTAAAATATATAGCAAAGATATATATTCTCCATTATTGTACAGAAAGGAAATGCTTAGGGGTTTGTTGGTTGTTGTTTTTATTTTTTAAAATCTTTAATATTTTAAGCTTACCACTGACACACAGGCATGTTCTATGCTTTAAATTAAATTTTTATGGAAGTAATATGGCTTTCCAAGTTGTTCCATATTACTGAAAAAGAGAGACTTTGTTATTTTCTTTCAGGAACACATAACGAAACTGTTTAATAGGGACAAAGCACAACATGGATTTTAGTCAACTATTGATTGGGCAGTACAATATTGTGTAAAGGCAGAAAAATAATATGTAACACAAAAAAAACTCATAGTCATTTCTAATCTGCTGCTGCTGCTAGAATCTGTTTCCAGCTGAAATTTAGTGCATCAATAGCTCTGTTTGTGTATACAGTTGTACGTACTGCATACGGTTATTAACATAAATAGGAAAACATGAGGAAAATATGGTGCTACATGTCTTGCTCACAGTTTTCTAAGTGTTTTGACATTATTTTCAAATAAAAAGGTGGTTCATTCCATTAAATCATTATTAATGCTTCAGGAGATTGATACAAAGGACTCAACATTTTGTGCAGCATTAACAATATCCTCACATCAATGGCATTTTTTCAGTGTTTTTCCTTAAACATACCCAACTTGTCAGCGTCCCTTAACGTGCAGTACTTGCCTGTGGACCATTTATTTGGCAAATTGAATTTCCATGTGCTGCAGCAAAGTTTAAAGCATAGTAAGCTATTTTCTAAAGGTCAGTATAAGCACTGGATGCATGGGTGGATGAGACTGACAGCGTTTGGCACAAGTCAGTGTATCTGCTATAGCCACTATGAAATAAACTCCATTTTTTTCTTTGGAAGAAGCGTGACCGTGGCAGGGCTCAGCCAGCCGCTGCTGTGGATACACTTTTAGCAGCAACACAGCAAATTGCAACAGCTAATTGCCCTGATGATTATTACTGGGGCG